CACACATATATATGCACATATGTGCATGCATGTGTGTGTGTGTGTATTTATATCTATATGCACGTAGAGATGTGTGTTTATATATAGCCACAAAATCGCAGTCTCACCCGGGCAGATAAGCAGATCTGCAGTCAGATTCTCCGGGATAAGGTAGTCAGCCCCGCTTATGGGCTTTTTAGTAGGGGGATCCACCTCGTGTAACTGAGCAGAAGGATGTGCAGTGATTTGGGAGCTCCTCTGTCTGCTAGAGAAACGCCTTCTTACATTTCCTCCAGATGAGCTCGGAATTCAACTGCAGTTCACTTTGGTGGGGAGGGGGATGATGCTGTATGGTGTGCCCCTTCTCCCAGCTCTCACTTCACTTTTAAGGGGGGGGAGGGGGTTGTTTGGTTGGGGTTTTTTTGCTCCCTCATTATGGATTAGCCGGGCCACCCTCCCGGGTACCCTCAGCATCACCTGCCAGCGGTGATGAGTAAGTGGCAGGTTGGGCACCCGGGACTTGGATCCTGCCTGTGTCATCATTAGTCACTAGGATTGTTCACCTGAATGACGTCAAAGCGCGGGGGGTTTCTCAGAGTCCCGCCAGGAAAGACCCTGGTAGCAGTGCGTTTGGCTTTCCAGGACTGAAGGCTACCCTGTTCCCTCGCCTCGAGCTGCTTTCTTTCTTTCCTTCCTTCCCATCTGGAATGAGGAAACTTCCCCCCTTCCTTCTTCCCCATACCCCTGTGGGAGCAGCAGTGCGGAGCCCGTGCTGTGCTGGCTAGGGCAAGTGTATAGCTGTGAAGGCCCTTAGGTGCGCGGGGGGGTCCTGTGCTGGAGCAGGGCCGTGGGCTGCCGGCCGGAGCGCTGGGGCCGGGCTGGGCCGGGCTCGAGGCGGGAGCGGGACACCGCAGTAGCTGGAACCGCTTCAGACAGAGGCGGGTGTTGTGTGTGTCTGTGTCGGCGTGTCTGTGCGTGTGTTTCTTGAGCGTGTGTGTGATTCTGTATATGAGTGTGTCTGAGTGTGCGCGCGCGTTTGTGTCGGCGTGTCTGTGAGTGTGTATATGCGCGTGCCAGTGTGTCTGTGGGGGTGAGCGCGTGTGTCTGAGGGTGTGCGCTTGCGTGCGTGCGGTTGTGTATATGTGCGTGTCAGTGTGCCCCTGTGTGTGTGCAGCTGTGATTTGGCGTGTGCTTCTGTGTCGGTGTGTCTGTGCGTGTGTTTCTCGAGTCTGTGTCGGTGTGTCTGTGTGATGGGGGGGTGTTTCTGTGTCCGTGGTGCCTGTGCGCGTGCCTGAGTGTGTGCGCGGTGGTGTATATGTGCATGTCAGTGTGCGAGTGTGTGTCTGGCCGGACCCCGGGGAGGGGTCCCCTGCCCCCTCCCCCCCTCCCTGAGGCGAGCCGGCGGCGCAGCGGCGGAGGGATCTACCCCATCACTGGCGCCCCCCGGAGGCGCAGCCTGTCCCAGAGCAGCTCCGGGAGGAGCGTGCCCGGCTGCTTTCCCCGCGGAGGGGCCGGGGCCGAGGCCGGGGGGGCCGGGGCGCCTGCACCTTGCCCGGGCGAGCGGCGCTGCGAGCGGGGGACGGGCGACCCCTTGTGTCCTCGGCGGGGACCGGCAGCGCCCCGGGCTCGCAGGTGCAGCCCGGCCCGAGCCCCGTGCTGGGCGAGGCTGCACAGCAGGAGGGAGGGAAGGCTAGCTCGAGCCCATGCTGGGGCACTCCTTTCTTTCTCCTCCTCCTGCTCCTCTAGCAACCGGCAGCCTTCATCACCCAACAACATTCATAACCATGGACTAAAGAATCAGCTGCAGAATCCAGTACCATGAATAAATCCAAGCCAGTGTTTCTCCCTCGGAGACCCGGTCACATCAGCAGAGTCTCCTGTTGCTTGCAGAAGGGTGTTTGTGGCCACCCTTGCAAAGAACAATGCATCCGTTGGTTTAATCAAAATAGATCCCATCTACCCAAGCACTGCCTGCCTAATCCAACACCAGGAATCAGCAACCAGGCTCTTCAGCCTGGAAAAGTGCAGGCTCAGGGGTGACTTGATGGCAGCCTATAAGTACATAAGGCCCTGTCCATCAGGATCTGGGGGAACGCCTGTTCACCAGAGCACCCCAAGGGATGACAGACTCCTACAGGACTGTTTTAGGCTGGACATAAGGAAATCTTCTTTACTGTCTAAGCCCCCAAGGCCTGGAATAGACACTCCCCCCAGAGGTGGTGCAAGCACCTATTCTGGCCACTTTTAAGGAACATTTGGAAGTTTTATCTTGCTGGGATCATTTGACCCCAGCTGACTTCCTGACCCTAGGGCAGGGGGTGGACCCGATGATCTTGCGAGGTCCCTTGCAGACCTAATGTCTATGAATCTATGAATCAAATGAGACAAGGCCTTGACATCCAAGCCTGGAGCCTTCTGTCTCCCGAAGAGCCCGGGACAGACTTTTCCAGTGCCAGGGCCTAGAATTAGACTTGCGCTTTGCTACAGTCTTCTTTACTACCAGCCTGGCTCCCCTCAGGATAGGCGAGGGGGCTCAAAACTCCTGCCAGTCAGACCCTTTTCACTCCAGTGTTTCTGAGGTTGGCTGCCTCTCTGGAAGCTGCCAAGCTTGGCTCCATGTGTTGAACTGATCCACACAAGACAGGACAGAGACATTTCTGTAGTCTTCCCTATGTCTCAAGTACAGAGAGATTTCTGTAGTTTTCTCTGTGTCTCAACTGCCACAGTTAAGCTACATATCTGCTGGAGAGCCTCCTAGTATGGAGCATCAAGATCCAATGGCAGCAGCCTGGACAGGAAAAATTATCAAGCTGGAAATAAATC